CCCTTGCACTAGGTCCCTCCTTGGTGGTGCTTTCCTCCAGCTTGTTAGTGCTATTAATGAACCAAACATGAACAAACGGAGTTTGTTAATATTTGTGAAGTGTTCGTGTTTGTTTTTTAAGGTTTTTTTAAAATCTTATTTGTGTTCGTTTGTTAAACATTTATTAGTGTTCCTTAACGTTCAAGTTTATGAACATGTTTGTTAATGTTTACAAACACGTCATGAACATGTTCATTCTCGTTCATAAACACTTAATAACTAAATACATGCACATGTTTATGATCACAATTCGTTCGTGAACAAAATATAATCTGTGTTCACAAATAATAATAATAAAAAAAAAAACACAACACAACAACTATTAAATATATATATATGCTATATGTGTATTAAAATTAAAAGAATATACATATGTATTAAATATAGAAGTAGCGCGCGCGCACACACACACACTTAGGGACGAAGCTAAAGGGGGGCAGGGGCAGCCACCCCCACCCCATATATAACCTTTGTATGTATATATATGTATATATATTACATGTTTTAGTATTAGTATAAAAATAGATGAATGTTAACGAGAAGTGAGTTAGATTAGTTTGCAAAGCATGAGTTTGGTTATAATGAAAGTCAGGGGTTTGAATCTTTTCTTGGCATCAACAAATTTTTACATTTTTTTTTGGCTCATTTCCTATGACTTCAACACATGCAGTCACGTTTTTAATAGTTTTTTTAATATTTAATACACACACACACACACACATTTTCACAATTTTTTGGCTCATTCCCTATGGCTTCAACGCAGTCACGTTTTTAATAATTTTTTAATATTTAATACACAGACACAGACACAGACACACACATTTTCACAATTTTTTTGGCTCATTCCTTATGGCTTCAATACAGTCACATTTTTAATAGTCATTTTTTAATATTTAACACACACACACATGTACATATATAACATTCTTTTATATTAATAATGAGATGTGTAATTTATAATGTGTTTTCTATTCAAATTATTTTATCAAATTAATTATATGTTTCATATTTTGTTATGAATATTTTTATAAAGTTTCGATGTGTTTTATTTTTTACTCATATCCAACAATATTTATACCTATATTTATTAGGTATTTTTTTTTCAAATTATCTCTTTTGTTTTAATGTTTAGCCTTCACTGAAAAAAATTCTGGATCCGTCCCTGCTTCTTCGCCCCTCCCCCCCTCAACAGAATTCTTGGCTTCGTCCCTGCACACACACGCGCACACACACACATATTATCTTAATTGCTTAGCTTGTTCACAAGCTCTTAGTAAACGAGCTTACAACTATTCACACTCTTTTCGTTTATAAGCCGAACTCTAAAATTTGTTTATTTATGTTCGTTTATCTTAATAAACAAACATAAACGAACGCTTACCGAACACGAATACGAATAGTTTATCGAAAGCTTTGTTCACTAACACAGTAACACCCCTACAACTCATGGAGTAATGAGTCGAGTAAGAGATGATTTGCTTGAGTGTTTGGGTCATCGATCGGATATTGGTCCACGTGGGCCGCGCCCCACACTATTGCTAGGCAACTCACTCGCCGATATTGTTAGGTACTTAGGTGTCTCTCGGACTAAAGATTGAACGCTAGCTCCGACTCATTCCTTGGGAACATTGGTTGGTTCCGCCGATGGTAGTATCTCCTCTAACGCTTATAGTGTCAGTCAAACCTCTCATGTTCCCTGCTAACGCATTCCTGTAAGTCCCGAAAATGTTCGTTTTGTGACTCGGCCATTTCAACGTATCTCGGGTTTGATTGCATAAAAGGAAAGGGTCAAATGGGTACTGTAAGATATATACCCCGGGTTGTACCTCCCTATACGTCCATGCTCTTGTTTATAGTTAAGTCAGGGTCAAACGGTTTGGGTCGTGGTCATAATCAACGGGTCAAAGTTAAACCCGTTAACCCTTGAGCCTATATAAGGGCCTTTGACCCTTCATTTTAGGAGGTTCCTTCCCCTCTCTTCTACACACACTCTCTCTAAAATATAGTACCCCTCCCTACTCTCCCTAGCATGGAGGAACAATAATAAATAAAAGAATCCTTAAGCTGATTCTACCATTTTTTACTCTTTTTTTTTTTTTTTTTGAATATCTACCATTTTCTACTCTTGATTTTACGTACATACAGTATACATATCTATACACGGAATTAACTGTAGACCTCTAGATCGCGGTTAACCCGATCTCCTAATCATAGCTAGCATCCCGATCGCCATATCGATAGATTTTGACCTCTCGAATCGTGTTGCAAATCCGATCCCTAGATTTGTAGAACTTAAACGACACTGTTTAGTCCAAAAGACTGTGCTTATGGTTATACTCTTTTTCCTTAACTAGAATTTTTTCTCATTTGTTTTTTTTTATTAGGTTAAGGTTTTTAACGAGGCAACCGGCGTAAATCACGGGCCGTATAATCAAATTTTATAGCCCGAACCCTTCCTCGTTAACTAATCGTCAGGGCCCGAACTTGTGGGGGGGGGGGGGGGGGGGCTACTTGATAAGATATATACCCCGGGTTATACCTCCATGTACGTCCATGCTCTCGTTTATAGTCGGGTCGGGGTCAAACGGTTCGGGTCGTGGTCATAATCAACGGGTCAAAGTTAAACTCGTCAACCCTTGAGCCTATATAAGTGCATTTGACTTTTCATTTTAGGGGGTTTCTTCCCTCCTCTCTCTCTCTCTCTCTCTCTCTCTCTCTCTCTCTCTCTCTCTCTCTCTCTCTCTCTCTCTCTCTAAGATGTAGAGCTCTCCCCTCTCTCTAGAATATGCAATGTATCATACAACACACAAGAACATCAATGAATAAAAGAGATCCATTTGACCTACTTCTTGTCCCACAAACGACACCAATGATAGTTTTTATGGACCAGGTCCACCATAAACTGGGTATGAAAGTACATAAAGGGGGGGGGGGGGGGGGGGGGTTAGGAAGATAATAGTTTTATCAGCAGGGGCGTTAGGCCTAGAAGAGTACGTACAAAGTCCGCCCAAATGGCGGTCAAAATAATAAATTGATAATACAAGCTATTACTCAAATAATGAACTAGAAATAATAATGTTGTTCCTAGGAATTGAACCCTGGTGTATGGGTTAAAGGTTAAAATCACAAAATACTAAACCAAGGGGATTTAGCGAATTAGGGAATGATGTCTAAAGGGTATCAAGCTCCTTATATAGTGTTGAAGACTTTCCCGATGGTTGACAAATGTACGGCATGAGCTAGTCTTCATTATTGAACACACATGTGCCCCCCAACTACCCTGCTTCTAGCGCACTTCTCATGCATAAGTGGAGCTTTCTGACCTCCAATAACAAGAGTTGGTGTAGCTAAGTGGATTGATTGTGTGTTATTAAGTGGGAGGTGGAGGGTTTGAACCCTTTTGGTACCACCTACTTAGATTATTTTGCTTCATGCTTCCATCTTTCTTTAGCCCTATAGATTTCTATTATTCTTATTGCCCAACACCTCATCAATAAAGTTTTTTCCCTTAGCGCAATAGATTCTCATTATTATTATTGGGCAAACACATCATCAATAAAAATGGACACCCTATTTAGACATACTTTTCCTTTAAAATACATGGGCCACCCAGGATTCCAGGTCCCCCTCAATTTTTATCTCCTTATTAAATTTTTTTTTTGTTCTGTAACATTTTCACTTTTAACCATTTAAGTATTGATTTAATCATTTTGTGCCTAAATTATTACAAATTAACCAAATTGAATATAAAATGTCTTAAACTCACCCAAAAGAAGATGATCTATTAACTTTTTATAAGAAATATATATAGGGATGAGTTCGGGTGCGGAGATGCTCCCAGGTGAAGAGCATCTCCGCACCCGAACTCATCCCTATATATATTTCTTATAAAAAGTTAATAGATCATCATATATATATGGGGTTAAATATGAGCTGTCGATCAAATCTAGATCAACGGCTCAAATCAATGAAAATTTAAAAGAAAAATGTGTGTCCTCTGCATTTATCTTTTTCATGTTTACTCCAAAGATAACAACTCTACTATTTGTTATTATATTGTTATCATAATTTTTTTCTTTTGAATTAGATAATTGAAAACAGCAAAACCTGGATCAGATCATTTTGAACTTGGGAACCAAAACTAAAAAACACCATTGTACTGTTGAGTGAAAAAAAAACTGTAAAAATGGCGCACCTTAAGAAGGAAAACATCGCACCTTAAGAAGGAAAACAAAGCACTTTAAGAAGGAAAACAACGCACCTTAAGAAGGAAAATCACGCACCTAAAGGTTTAGACCGACGCACCTTAAAAAAGAAAACAACACACCTTAAGAAGGAAAACAACGCATCTTAAGAAGTTAAACCACGCCACCTAAAACTTTAGATCGACTCCCTTAAGTTTCAACAACTGATTTTAGTAAAGTCCTAAACCAATTAAACCGGTTGAAACTAGAAAAAAAAATGAAGAGACAAAAATGTCCTTACTAAAAATAGAAAAAGTCATGAGAATGACTAAAAGTGTTCAAAAAATAATACACTGGGATGCTAAATGACAAAAACGATAGTTTAGGACTAAATTTAGAATTATCACAAAAAACAACGGAATTTTGGTGAAATTATTAACTCTTTTTATTATTTAGATGATGTGAAATAGGTTGCTTGTTAGAAGATTCTGTTTTACCATAAAATTTTAAAATGCAGTAATTTATAGGTGGAGTATTTTTTCTTTGTATTTTCTGATTTACGAGTTCTTTCTCTAAGTACAAAAGGGATTGACTCAGGGGTGGAGTTGTCGTCAAAGTCGTCACATCATTTAGGCCTGTATCGAAACCCTCAGTAGCTTACGTAGCTGTTTCGAACATTATACGAGGAAGTTTCCCATGTAATCATAGGTTTTAATCTCTTCCTCGTCAAACTATATACCAATTCATTCCCTTTATATATATACCCCCTGTACCCACCCTAGCTTCATTAAACTAGTTCTCTCTCTCTCTCTCTCTTTCATATTTCACCTGACAAAAATCTTGGGTTCAACTACTAAAAATGGCAGCAAAACGGATTCATAACTTCGCCGGAGACGACGACGACGAAGTTATGATCATGCCCAACTCCAACCAGCAGCCAAACCCTAAACGGATCAGACCTTCTTTGGCTTCGTATGCATGCTCACTTCTTCTTCTTATAAGATCATTTCCTTTAGCTTTTCTTTTTGTCTTAGCGGTCATCGTCATTTTTGTTGTTTGTTTAATTTATTGCAGTGTGATCAAAGAAGTGGTGACGATGAAATGCTTAGAGAACTTCTGCTCAGCTGCCTTGGAACCAATGGTTAGGAAAGTGGTACGCAGAAAGATTATTGGAATTATTGACTGCTTTAGGGATGGAAAATGCTTCTTGAATCACCTTCTATTTTTTCCCTTTGATATGACTAACCCAACATAATTTTATTTTTTTATACCTTTTAGTAACCTGGCCTAGTGCTGGATTTTTCCCGGCACATGCTAGCCTTAACCACCCCTCCAAAAGCTCTAATTCGTAGCAAATGCATAATTTTACTGTCACATTTTTAGAGGCAGATGTTGGATTTGACCCTTCGAATCTCTGCTTAACAATCTCTTAGTCACCTGTGATTGAATTTAAGCCTTTATCAGTCTCTGCAAGCCTCTACCCAACAATTTTCTAGTCACTTGGGACTGAATTCTGTGTCTCTGTCCAATAATCTCCTAGTCACATGGGACTGAATTTAGTCTTTAATGGGTCTCTGCACAACAAGGATAGATTAGAGGGGAAAAATAAGAGGGTGTAAAGAGAAATGATGAACCCTAATTCTTAGTTACATTCATTTCTTTAAAATCACTTACTATGATCTTTGTCTTTCGTTTAGGTGCAAGAAGAGGTGGAGAATGCGGTGAGGCGACTTTGTTCGCCATCACCGGCGATGATTTCATCATCGTCTTTGCTGAAAACCCATAATAGCTGCCATGGCCGACCACCAGCCCTAAGTCTAATTTTCCGGCAGAAACTGGCCGTTCAGATCTTCACCGGAACCAGGATTCTGACGGAGGACGGCGCCACCCCCCTCGAGATCATGCTGGTGGACACGAGCGGCGGCAGCGGACTAATCCCCGCCGCCCTCCCCTTTCCGATCAAGCTCGAGGTGGTTGTCCTCGACGGCGACTTCCCCCCAGACGGAGAAGTGGCGGGGCCGTGGACTACCCACGATTTCAACAAGAATGTCGTGAAGGAACGCACCGGAAAGCGGCCGTTGCTCGCCGGAGACTCGTTTGTGAGCATGACGGATGGCTCGGCTCATCTCTCCAACAACGTTGAGTTTACCGATAACTCGAGCTGGATCCGGTGCCGGAGGTTCAGGCTGGGAGCTAGAGTTGTGCACGCCGGAAACGCCGCCGGAGGACAAAGTGTTGATATCAGAGAAGCCATAACTAACTCTTTCATGGTCAAAGATCACCGCGGCGAGTGTAAGCTTTTTTCGTACTATTTTTCTTCCCTATATATCTCTTCTTTGAATAAATGTCAAATCAATCAATTATACAACTATATATATATTCCATGATATTAAATGCATACAAAAAATGAAATTTCTAAAATAATCTTGAAAAATATTATTAGGGTAAATTAAAGCACTACAACCCTAACATAGATGCTATACATACTATGTATCAACACAGTGATTGGGCACTATTATATTGATGAATAGAATAATAGGGATGAGTAACGTAGTTCTTCATAGTTAGGATCGGACTTACAAGAGAATTTGATAGAGTTTAAAATAAGCATGTCACATTTTAAGTAGAAAATAACAATATTAAACGACAAATTTAAAGTTGATTAATAGAGTCTATGAGTCCTCTTTCAACATTGGACCCTGGGGAGGGCCCAACCTGTTCTTGTCTGGCGCTAGACATGGGTCGATTGACCAACTTTCCAAGTACTTAGGTCAAAAGTAGATTTGATCTATTCTTTTTGACAAATGATTAATTCGAGCATGACTTATCAGCAGGTAGTGTTGAGCCTTGAGAGTCCGGGTATTATCCTCAACAAATATATATATATATATCAGCATTTCTATACACTAACTACTAAATGATCTGTAACATACAATATATCTAGGTATAGTATTTTGGTATATATAGCATGCATATTATATTGCTGGTATATATAGCATGCATATTAAATTTATAATTTCTACTCATGTATATATTGCAGTGTACAAAAAACATTACCCACCAGCACTAGATGATGATGTGTGGCGACTAAAGAATATTGGGAAAGATGGAAAGTTTCATAAAAAACTCGCCTCAAATGGCGTCAACACAGTGCAACATTTCTTGCAGCTCTCTGAGATTGATTGCAACAAGCTCAGAAGTGTATGTATATCATTTATCTTAATTTCTATCAATTCTTTCATGGTATATACACACATGAATTCATTAAAAGTCATATATATATATATATATATATATATCGATTAACATCATGCTTTTTTTTTTTTTTTTTTTTTTTTTTAAATTAATGCTTATTTATTCATTGTTTTTAAACAGATATTAGGAGGTGGGATGTCAGAGAAAATGTGGGATGTAACTTATAAACATGCAAGCACTTGTGAGATAGGCAGTAAATTGTACATATCACAAGGGGACAACTACACTCTTTTCCTCAATCCCATTTGCCAAGTTGTTAGGGCTAATATTGATGGCCAAATTTATGCTTCTGCCTATAACCACTTAACCATCCACCAAAAGGTAAACCACCTCTTTTATTTTTCTTGCAATATAAAATTACGTGAATGCATAATTTTAAGTTAGTATTAATATTTACGAAGTTCGTATATAGTATTAAATTGATTTATTAAGGTTTTTTTTTTTTTTTTTTTTGGTGGATTATATTAGGGATACATGGCGAATTTGGTTAAGAATGCGTATCTAAATTGGAGTTCCTTACAAGAGTGTGATGTAGTCCATGAGCCAGCATTACTAACCCAAGGTAATTTAATTAATCAAACTTATATATAGAGTATATAAATTATAGATTGTGGAACCATACATTATGAATTATCATTCAATTAGCTATCTCATTGTACTCGAAACCGTAAGCATGAACATTGACATTTTTTTTTTGTTAGATCACGAGGTGCATGTCTTGAGTAGACCCTAATTATTGGGACATCTTTAAACCCATATCATACTTGGAGTAATCCATGTTTGCACCAGACTAGCCCATTTATGGGGCAAATTAAAGTTGGATTTTTTCATACGAGATGAGATTTTGAAAACTTATAATAAAGTTAACGGTTTGGTTGATACCTAGCTAACAATTAAGCTGATATATGATTGATTGTAACAGGGGAGTTGATAGATGAATACCCGAATACTCATCAACAGACAATAACAAGGGTTTGCACTGATGAAGCTGAAGAGTTTTTCAACAGACTTTGACCTGTGTGCCCTGGAAAAGTCCAAGTACAAAATGGTATAAATTAAAACGTAGTCCAATGGTGATAGATACAACAACGTAACTTGAACTACTCGTAAAGTCCTATGTTTAATAGGTCGGAATTTGTGGCACGTAAACTCTGTTGCTGGAGTCATTATCATTAAATTATGAGTAGTATTCTATTATGTTTGTTGTACCATCCATTGTGCACAACTTATTACTTGTTATTAGTTTCAGTTTTGCCAGTAATAATAGTTATTTGAATATGACTTATAAGTACTCTGTGAGATTGACTGTACATACCCTAGCAAAATATATAGACAACAATTAGTATCTCGATCTTTATCTAAATTTTTGTATATTAATATTCAAATTGATAAATATATCAACATTATTATAATTTAATAAATTACATTATATATATATATATATATATATATATATATATATATATATATATATATATAATCCGGATCAGGTGAGGACCTAATCTTAAGTGAGGACGTGAGGACTAATCTTGTGCGTTTGTTTTTTTATTTGGATGGTCCAGATTTGAGTTTTTGAGATGACATGGATTGATCTTTTTTGTTAAAGTGGGATAATAGTGTCTTTTTCTAATTTTTTTTTAAGTGTGAACGCAAGTATAATCCTTGGCCAAATTGGTTTCTTATTTTCTTGGATCATCACCGTTGCAATTTGGAGCCGCGATTTTTTCATTATTGATTGAGTGTTCGCCCATGCAAACTAATCAGTATTTTTTATTTTTTTTCGATTGTTCTTTTGAGTATAATATTGTCTATATTTGGATTGTCGTGTATATGTATAAATGCCTGGGTAGTACGATTGTGCATTCGTGTGTGCTGATTGTGCAACCTAGTGTTGTAAGTTGTGCACTATAGGCTAGGGAGTTGTGCATTATAACACATAGCTCAATGCATCGTAGAACATTGGATGTTCACTGTATGATTTTTTGGCAGGGTTTGAATGCACAACAATGAAGTTATTGATGCACAACACTCAGTATAGGAATGCACAACATTTTGTATAGGAATGCACATCTTTTAATAAGACTGATTTACCCTAAATTTATATATTTTAATATTTTAAAGGGATTTGTTTTCTTAATCCGTGTGATTTGTTTCTTTTAATCTCAGTCATACATCATTCTGATTTAATGGTCTAAATTAGTCCTCACGTCCTCACCTAAGATTAGGTCCTCACCTGATTCGGAGTATATATATATATATATATATATATATATATATATATATATATATATATATATATAGTGAAACTATCTGAATTTAAAGAACCTATAATACATCAATCTCTTCTAGACTATTCTTCCATGATCTTATATTCAATTGTTTGGTTCATTTTATATTCTATGAAATGAACCAAAAAGCGAAATACTAAACCAAATAAAAAAAATTAAATTATAAACTCTAGAAGGTATTCTTTATTGCAGTGCATTTTTAAATTGATAAAAAATGCATTGTATTGTATTGAAAAGTGCAGCGTATAATATTTTTTTAAAAAATGTATTTTTAAAGTTGAAAGAATTATCAAAATGTCATTATAGTTTTTTCTCTTTGCTCTAGAACTGTTAGATCAACCGGTGAACGGTTGAGATTAGTTCTTAGCTTTCTCTTGGGAACAAGTTCTCAAATGAGAATATGGTCCTCCTATATAAAAAAACAATTTATTGAATGGTACTGGTTCTATTATATTGTAGTATCTGTTCATATACTTTTTCAACCTACTGAAACACAAAGAACTAATATACTTTTTCAACCTACTGAAATACAAAGAACTAATAACGCCTACTTTTTCAACCTACTGAAACACAAAGAACTAATATACTTTTTCAACCTACTGAAATACAAAGAACTAATAACGCCTCAACTGAGGCTCAAACTCACAACCTTTCAAATGAAAATTCAACCCGGGTACCATTATACCACATAGTCTTGGTAAAAAATATGAGGTCGGTCAATTTTATAATTATTGTAAACTTTTAAGTGCAATATTTATAAAATTGATGCACCCCTTTTTTACTTATTTTTCAACAACCCTCAACCGTTGATCTATCTATATGGATTGATCGAACCGGTCTCTGAAATCTTTTAAAAGTGGATTCGTTTCCTGAGAGATTCGAACTCTCGCAAGGAAACCCCATGTACTTAACAGGCACACGCTTTAACCACTCAGCCAAAGCAACTTGTGTGTGTTTATTAGCACAGTTTTTCATTTTGAAAACTGAAAATAATTTTTCAGTTTTCTAGAAATCTTGAACACTCTTAAAAACTCTTTTCCAAATGGAAAACAGAATCATCCATCATCTATTTGGTTATATGTCACTATAACTACATTACTATGATTATATTTATTATCATCTTCTTTTACTTATCACCATCTTCTCTCTTTTCTACTTACTTTACTTATTTAAACATAACTTTTTTGCTTACACTTTAAAGTTGGACATTAATCACATTATCAAAATTAAGAATTGAACTCTATACAATGTTTTAGATTTTGATTGAACTCAATAGATTATTAGTTCGGATATATTTAGTTATGTTATATCGTAATACAAGTTTGATCCGGATATCAGATATTGAAATCTCACATATTTAGATACATGTCATTCAAATGAATGTATTCAAAAAATATTTTAAATATTAGCTCAAAAAATATTAGGGAAAATGGCGAGTTTGGTCCCTGAGTTATAATGGTAGTGATGACTCAGTCCCTAAGTTATGACCGTATTCATTTTTAGTCCCTCAGTTATGAGCGAAGTGGCGCATTTGATCCTTAACCGTTAAACTGGCGGAAAAATTAAAAAATATTTAAAATTTTAGGGGTAAAGTAGGAAATTCACATTTTGTTCACTTTCTTATATTGAAACCACTTTTGCAACACTATTTTCAACTTCCTAGCATTCTATTTCAAGGTTCTTCAATTCCAAAAGCAATTCCTCAATAATCTTCGTATGACTTGTTAGTAACCTGAGTCTCGTATAAGGAACATGTGACTCAATACAAACAAGAGAACACTTGATAATTGTCTTCAAACATGTAAAACACATCATCCTAAAAGTTTCTAATTTCCCTTACTAAACATAATGGTAATCAAACCATAACTTTTGAAATACAAAAAGATATCAAATTTCTCATCAGTTAATTTTATGACAAATTCACCAATGTAGTAACTTGAGATTTTTAGTACGTAAAATTCTTTCGTAAGCTCTGCACTAACTTAATCAAGAACAGTATATCCTGACAATATATGAAAATTATATTATATATATACCCATCACTTCCTATATATGTCTTCTTAAAACCCAGAGTAATGAATCAGAAACCTGAGACTTAGTTATGAAAATTCTAAAAACTTTTGTAACTTCTAAAAATGATTATTGATTGTTGCATATTAAAATTTTTTACATACTAAAATCTCAATTTATTCTGTTGGTGAATTTCTCATAAAGGCAACCTGGGAAATTTGACATCATTTTAAATCTCAAAAGTTCTGGTTTGATTACCTTTGTTGCTTAGTAAAGAAAATTGAAAATTGATAAGATAGTGTATTTCACACGTCTGAAGACAATGATCAAGTGTTTCTTTATTTGTGCTAAGCCTTAAGTTTGTTATACGAGAGCCAGGTTCCTAACAAGTCATACTAAAGTTATTGAAATGCTTTTAGAATTAAACAATCTTGAAATAAGAGGCTAAGAAGGAAAATAATGTTGTGAAAGTGGTTTTGATATAAGAAGGAGAATAAAATGTGAGTTTCCTACTTTAACCCTCAAATTTTAAATATTTTTAAATTTTTTTCGTCAGTTTTAACCGTCGGGGACCAAATGCGCCACTTCGTTCACAACTGAGGGACTAAAAATGGATACGGTCATAACTCAGGGACTGAGTCGGAACTTGGGTATAACTCAGGGACCAAAGATGCAATTTTCCCAAAATATTAATATTACGTAAATCAAATTTTAGGTGAACTTAGTAGGTTATTGATTCGTATATATATATTTTCATGGGAAAATTATAATTTATGCCTCTCATAAATAGACCAATTATCAATGTTACCCCTGAATTATTAGTGGTGTAAATGTTACCCCTCAATTTTCAAAACGTGACATATATTGCCCCTCCCCTGAATTATTAGTGATGTAAATGTGGTTACCCGTCGTCTTTCTTGTTCGAAGACCACGTCTTTTTTCTCAATTTTTCTTTCTTCGATTGTTCTCCTTCCGTCGACAACAAATTTTTCTCCTTCTTCATATTAGGGGAGGGGAAATATATGTCATGTTTTGAAAATTGAGGGGCAACATTTACACCACTGATAATTCAGGGGTGACATTGATAATTGACATATTTGTGAGGGGCATAAATTACAATTTCCCCTATTTTCATTATTATGTTATCAAATGTAAAAATCTTACATATATTAGACTTAAAAGTATTAAAAAAATTATTCTATTTAAACCAAATATATATAAAAATATTTTAAATATAAGATCTAAAATTCTCTCAAAATTAAACTTGTGTTAATTTTATAACGTTTTTTTTTTTTTTGAAACCAACGAAAACATATATTACTGATTTAGAACATTCGAAATACAAGTCGGTGGGATATCAAACCATACCCCGGAGGCAGACAAAGAAACGGTCGCCCGAGCTAACGCATGAGCCACACGGTTCGCTGACCTCATGACATGGGAAACCCGAACATTCCCCATAACCCTAGCAATCGACACACATTGCTTTACTATTAGACCAACATACGAAAAATCGAAATTACAAGAATTAAAAGCGGTACAAAAATTTAAACAATCAGACTCTATAATAATGTTACTATGATTTTGAGTCTTCAACCACGTTAACGCTTCCCGGACTCCTAATGCTTCAGCCATGTAAGGATCGTCCACATTGTCCAGCCGCCCGCTCTTTGTCGCGACAAATTGCCGTTCATGGTTACGTACGACGACTCCATAACTCGCGCCTTCTCTGACCATTGCAGCATCTACGTTGCACTTAATGGTGTATCGTGGTGGCGGGATCCAGGTGTCTAGTAGTGCGGAGCCAGTCGAATGACGAAGATAGGCTTCCTTCCAACCCGCCTGCAATCGTGAGATCTGCTCTCGAACCTCAACTCCCGGCGGTTGCTTATCGTTCCACACTATCTCGTTTCGAGTTGTCCAAATCGTCCAGACCACAGCTGCCGTATGCACTGCCACCTCCACATTTGCATTGCTAATCATTTGCAACGGAAAGCCAAGAAACTCCCGTCCCTGTAGAACATCGTGGACACCCCATGCAAGCTCGGCAAACGCACACTGGCAAAAAATATGGATTTGAGATTCAATTGTGTAACCACACATCGGGCATCCTCCTCCTATCCAGACGTTCTTAGAACGTAAATTATCACGGACCGGCAAAATGTTACGAGCACAACGCCAAAGAAGATTTTTTACCTTCGGGGGGATTGGCAATGCCCATAGCGTCTTCCAAGCATGAAAGCCGTCAGTGATATCATATGGGGCCGCCATCTCTGTTAGCAAACGGTATCCATTGCGGACTGTGTAGCATCCGCGAATATCCCCAATCCAGCGCCACTCGTCACGTAATTGGGTGTTCACCGGAGTCGCCAAGATTCTGGGCACATCCTCCTCAATAAAAATATCCCTTAATATATCCACATCCCAGCATCCACGATCATTTAACAACCCATGTACCTGTGCCTCCTGTAGTTGTTCCACGCAGGGGGTACGCAACTGTACACGCGAGGAACCTGTTAACCAATCCCATCCCCAAATCTTCGTGTCGCGACCATCCCCAACACGTCGGCCAATGCCCAGTTCTAAAACCTTCTTTCCCGCATGGATACTACGCGAAATAAAACTCGGATTATTCCCTAATGGCGCGCCCATAAAATCTGTCGTGGGATAATAACGTGCCTTCAGAAGACGACTGACAAGAGACTCAGGGTGAATCAATAGACGCCACCCTTGTTTAGCCAGTAGGGCGATATTGAATTCATGTAGCTTCTTGAATCCAAGACCACCTTTTGATTTTGGTGTACACATTTGTCCCCAGCTCAGCCAATGAATCTCTCTTCTATTCAAACCTCCACCGCCCCACCAGTATCGATTGTATAATTTTTCCAAAGTATCACAAATCCGCATAGGTAATAAAAACACTGACATGGTGAAAATCGGTAAAGCTTGTGCTATGCTCTTAAGTAAAACCTCCTTTCCGGCACGAGAGAGAAGCTTGTTCTGCCACGCCCCAATTCTAGAACGGATGTTGCCTTCAATGTAACGGAAGACTTCCGTTTTATTACGCCCCAGCATCGACGGGAGGCCCAGATAACGCCCCAAGTCCGCCGCTTCAGGTACCCCTATGAGCCCGGAGACCACAGAACGGATAGCTGGGGATGTATTAAAGCTGTAAATTGCACTGGATTTCTCATAATTGATGAGCTGTCCTGAGGCCAGACTGTAAGTGTCTAAGCATTCTTTAATTTTACTGGCTTCCCGTTCATTTGCCCTGAAAAAGAGCAAGCTATCATCAGCAAAAAATAGGTGAGTAATGGCCGGGGCCCCCGGGCCACCCTCACACCATGAATATCTCCACTTGCCCCCGCCTGCTGTAGGAGGGTAGAAAAACCCTCGGCACAAATGATGAACAAATAAGGGGACAGAGGGTCGCCTTGGCGAATTCCCCGGGTAGGCTGGACCTGCCCCACTCCCTCCCCATTGACCAAGATAGAATAGCTCACAGAATTGATGCACAGCATTAATAAATCCACCCAGTCCCTCTCAAACCCCAAAGCCTTCAACATACCCTCTAAGAACGGCCATTCCATTCTATCGTAGGCCTTGGCCATATCAAGTTTAAGGGCAGCCCATCCCTGAGTGCCCATAGTCTTTCTATGTAAGTAGTGCCCTATTTCCCCAGCCACAACAATATTGTCAGTGAGTAGCCGGTTAGGGACGAACGCACTCTGTGATTGGGAAACCACCTGAGCTAAACAGTCTTTTAACCTATTTGCAAGCATTTTAGCAAGAATTTTGTAAATCACATTGCAGAGCGCTATAAGACATAAATCCGGTACTCTTTCCGGCACAGATTTTTTGGGAATTAGGACGATGTTTGAAACATTCAATCCCGGTGGGAAGTGTTTATTTTCCACACAGTTCAGGATAAACATGGATAGATCATGCCCAAGCACCGGCCAGAAGTGCTGAAAAAAGGCCGGTGACATACTGTCCGGGCCCGGAGCCTTATCTGGCTTCATATCAAACAGGGCCGTCTTAACATCCCCCATCGTGAAGGGTTGTGACATGGAGATTTTCATCTCCGTTGTCACCCGCTCATGTACCCGGTCAAACAAATTTGCACCACAAGTACCAAAAGTAAAAATATGTTCGAAATACCTTATTATTGCTGCGTTCATAGCCGTACCCTCGGTCCAGCTGTCATTGTGGTCTTTAATTCGAGCAAGAAAATTTTGTTTGCACCGAGCCGTAGCCGATTTGTGGAAGTATTTCGTGTTGGTATCACCGTGTTTCAACCAGAGTTGTTTGGAACGCTGTTTCCAAAATATTTCTTTTGCACGCATGATAGCTCCTAACTCCTTTTCTGCCGCCAAGAAAGTAGCCACCGCATGTGGCGCACGGTTCTCCTTCAAATTAGCAAGGGTCTGCCGTAAAGCCTTGCTCCGAATGCCAAACTGCCTGTGGTATTCCCCGCCCCATTGCCAAAGGCGGTTACCGCAAATTTTTATTCGTTCTGGAAAGCTCATGCCAATAGATATACGCCACGCTTCCTCGACAACTGTAGCACACCCGACCTCTAATAACCATGCTGATTCGAACCTGAAGGTGCGAAGTGCCGCCCGTACAGGTCTGTCGTGTAAATCAACTAGAATGGCACAATGATCAGAAGAGTCTGTATAGATATTCCGAACCACAGCCTCTTCGTGCAACTCCATCCAGTCCACCGTAGCCACGGCTCTGTCTAGCCGTTCTTCCACCCAAGCATCAGTACCCCGGCCTTTCACCCAGGTGAACCGACCCCCTACCATACCCAAATCAATGAGACCACAGTCATTCAAGGCGTCGTTGAAGCCTTCAATGAGTGTCGAAGGGTGCGGATGGATTCCCCGTTTTTCTGAAAGGCATGCAATATCGTTGAAGTCTCCGGCGACAACCCACGGAAGCCGAGAGTCGTCCCTAAGCTTACGCAAGAGATCCCATGTAAACTGCCTCCTCGTTCTGTCCGGTTCCCCGTAAAATCCCATAAGCCTCCATTTCGGCCGCCCTGGAAGAGAAATCTCCATATCTATATGATTAATGGAGTAACTCAGTAAGGACGCCACTGTCTTATCCCTCCAAAACAAAGCAATACCTCCTCCGAGACCAACACGGTCCACGCTGAATTTACCATCAAATCCTAGTTGTATACGAACCTGCTCCATTCTTTCTTCAGTCATTTTTTTCTCCATCAAGAAGACAAATTGGGGGCGCTGCTTGGACACAATGTCCAAGAGTTCCCGAACTGACCGGGTGCCACCCATACCCCGGCAGTTCCAGCTCAGTAGACTCATTTGGTTCGGCGAGTCTGGTCCGCCAGACCCGCCATCTCATCATGTTTGCCATTATCAGCCATTAGGATATCATCCCCAGTCACCGTGTCTACTGTCTCAATAGCTTCCCTCCGTCTTTTTAGATCGCCTTGTATGCCCTCTGTCTCAGTCATCGACACACGCATTGCCGACGACGGTTCTTCAGGAAGGATGGAAGGCACCGTCGTAGTAGACGAGTGAGGTAGTAACCATTTGGCCCCCACTGGCTTTACCTGCTGCTTGGGACCGGCTCTCAGCTAAGCACCGAACGGATATTCATCGGGCAGAATCCCTTTCTCATATGCTATCCTGCAAAACTTATCAGAATGACCGAGGCAGCCACAGCAATAGCAAAAAGTGCCTAGTCGTTCGTATTTGAAGGTGACCCAGTGCGTCGAGCCATCACGACGTATCAGCTTCATGCGGCGTTTGATCGGATCCAACACATTCATGCGTGCTCGAATTCTGTAGAAGCTCTTCCATGCACCACCGAAATTGAAGGGATCGGAAGCAATAAATGATCCAATATAATCCCCGATTTTAATGATGAAATCCGGTGAGGCATCCATTGCAGGCAAACCGTGAATCTGAACCCAGAATGGCACGGAATCTAAAATGACCTCCTCTGGCCGGATCCCAGGCGGAACCTGTTCACAAAGGAGTAGATGATTTTCGAAGGACCAGGGCCCGTCGTCCAGAATTCGCTGTAGATCCTTCGGGTGTGGAAATTGGAATAAGAACAGATCATCTGCCAAGGAAACAGCGTACATACCCATAACCGGCCGCCATACTGACGCCAGGACATGTTGCATGTGCTCGAATCGTATCGGACGATCGGTTAGAAGTCTGCCTACGAGATTGTTAGGGATCGATGCATCCGGCATCGCCTTTGGCTCAGGCGCGTCAAGACCGCCAGTATCCTCTTCGATCAACGCCAGATCGGCACATCGCTTCTCCAATTGATGAATGTCCATTTGGGGAATCGACAGAACACACAGTAGGTAGGTGAAGAATTGGATTACACATATTCTCGCCATAGGGAAGAAAGCAAAATAAATAAGCCCTAGAAAGACTAGGGAGAACACTCCTATCGATCAAGATCGAAGGAGGTGTCCACTATCGGAGACGACGATCGGAATCACGATCAGATGAAAAGCGAAGAAAACGGAGCACTCTCTCTATGATGACTTACTCCAATATTGCTCACACAACTTGAATAGTTACAATGTCTTAATAACTCAATTAATTTCCGTGTTAATTTTATAACGTTAATCTTTTAAAAAAATTAAAAAAATATGTGTTAATAAACAAGTTTTCTAAACAAAAAACAAAGAATAAAAATTGAAAAATTAGAAAATAAAAAACAGAAAACAATTTTTCGTTTTTAAACGGGTAAAATCTTATGCGACAATGCCACACAAGATTGCATTTGCATACCATCACATTGCTGGTATGTGGATATATGGTCTAAGGATGTTGAATACTATTAATAGTAATAGATAGTGGCATTTTTTACACATAAAATAATAATTTTATTTTCACTATTTATTTATACAAATAGCAGCATCCTTTTTATATTCATAGCAGTCAACACATTCCTACATACTACGGAGTATTTATTATTGTCGAAATTAGCATTTTTAATAAAATTTAGGAAAAATTGCATCTTTAGTTCCTGTGTTATAATCAAGTTTCGATTCAGAACTTAAGTTATGACCGTATTCGAGTTTAGTCCCTCAGTTATGAATGAAGTGGCGAGTTTGGTCCCTAGCGTTAATACTCTGTCTGCAACTAACGGAAAACTTAAAAACAATTTAATAATAGAAGGGTAAAATATGAATTTCAAATTATAATCTCCTTTTTATGTTGAAACTCGTTGCGCAACAGTCATTGTTTTCTTCTTATACCTATAATCGAATGTCTTTTTCTTCCCCAAGCTTGAAATCTCAAGTTCGTCCACTTTCAAGCTGCAAAATTCACAGGTAATTTGTTTCTCTATTTTATATGTTTAAATAAATAATCAATATTTTCCGTATTGCGCAGCTTAAGAAGGAAAACAAAACACCTTAAAAAGGAAAACAACGCACCTTAAGAAGGAAAAATCACGCACCTAAAGGTTTAGACCGACGCACCTTAAGAAGGAAAACAACACACCTTAAGAAGGAAAACAACGCACCTTAAGAAGTTAAACCATGCCACCTAAAACTTTAGATCGACGCCCTTAAGTTTCAACAACTGATTTTAGTAAAGTCCTAAACCAATTAAACCGGTTGAAACCAGAAAAAAAATGAAGAGACAAAAATGTCCTTACTAAAAATAGAAAAAGTCATAAGAATGACTAAAAGTGTTCAAAAAATAATACACTGGGATGCTAAATGACAAAAACGATAGTTTAGGACTAAATTTAAAATTATCACAAAAAACAACGGAATTTTGGTGAAATTATTAACTCTTTTTATTATTTAGATGATGTGAAATAGGTTGCTTGTTAGAAGATTCTGTTTTACCATAAAATTTTAAAATGCAGTAATTTATAGGTGGAGTATTTTTTCTTTGTATTTTCTGATTTACAAGTTCTTTTTCTAAGTACATAAGGGATTGACTCAGGGGTGGAATTGTCGTAAAAGTCACATCATTTAGGCCTGTATCGAAACCCTCAGTAGCTTACGTAGCTGTTTCGAACATTATACGAGGAAGTTTCCCATGTAATCATAGGTTTTAATCTCTCCGGCCTCGTCAAACTATATACCAACTCATTCCCTTTATATACCCCCCTCTACCCATCCACCCTACCTTCATTAAACTAGTTCTCTCTCTCTCTCTCTTTCAGATTTCACCTGACAAAATTAAAGTACTAAAAATGGCAGCAAAACGGATTCATAACTTCGCCGGAGACGACGACGACGTTATGATCATGCCCAACTCCAACCAGCAACCAAACCCCAAACGGATCAGACCTTCTTTGGCTTCGTATTCATGCTCACCTTCTTCTTCTTCTTATAAGATAGTTTCCTTTAATTTGCTTTTCTTTCTGTCATCGTGGTCTTCGCCGTCGTCATTTTTGTTTAATTTATTGCAGTGTGATCAAAGAAGTGGTGACGATGAAATGCTTAGAGAACTTCTGCTCTGATTTTGAACCAATGGTTAGAAAAGTGGTACGCACAAAGATTATTGACTGTTTTCGGGAAGGAAAATGCTTCTTGAATCACCTTCCATTTTTTCCCTTTCATATGACTAACCCCAACATAAATTATTTTCTTATATCTTTTAGTAATCTGGACTTTCCCCGACACATGCTAGCGTTAACCACCACTCCGTTTCTTTATACTGTCAAACAGAGTGTTAGATTTGACCCTTTTAAGTCTCTGCCCAACAATCTCCTAGTCGATGGAGTAGTTGGCCTTTTATCGGTCTCTACAAGGCTCTGTCCAACAATCTCGTAGTCACCTGAGACCAAGATTGAAAAAATCGCTAGGCGTCTGTGGACCGCCTAGGGCGCCTAGAGCGCCTAGGCGGGCGCCTAGGTGCTAGGCCCGATTGTTGCAACACTGCCTGAGACTGAATTTGGCCATTTACCTGTGTCTGTAAGTCTATGTTCAACAATCTCCTAGAGATTGAATTTGGCTCTTTACCGGTCTCTGCACAACAAGGATAGATGAGAGGGGAAAAATAAGAGGGTGTCTAGAGAAATAATGAACCCTATAGTTCTTTTTTTTTGAAAAACCCTATAGTTCTTAGTTACACTCATTTCTTTAATTTCGATCACTTATTATGATCTTTGTCATTCGTTTAGGTGCAAGAAGAGGTGGAGAATGCGGTGAGGCGACTTTGTTCGCCATCATCGGCGATGATTTCATCATCGTCTTTGCTGAAAACCCATAATAGCTGCCATGGCCGACCACCAGCCCTAAGTCTAATTTTCCGGCAGAAACTGGCCGTTCAGATCTTCACCGGAACCAGGATTCTGGCGGAGGACGGCGCCACCCCCCTCGAGATCATGCTGGTGGACACGAGCGGCGGCAGCGGACTAATCCCCGCCGCCCTCCCCTTTCCGGTCAAGCTCGAGGTGGTTGTCCTCGACGGCGACTTCCCCCCAGACGGAGAAGTGGCGGGGCCGTGGACTACCCACGATTTCAACAAGAATGTCGTGAAGGAACGCACCGGAAAGCGGCCGTTGCTCGCCGGAGACTCGTTTGTGAGCATGACGGATGGCTCGGCTCATCTCTCCAACAACATTGAATTTACCGATAACTCGAGCTGGATCCGGTGCCGGAGGTTCAGGCTGGGAGCTAGAGTTGTGCACGCCGGAAACGCCGCCGGAGGGCAAAGTGTTAATATCAGAGAAGCCATAACTAACTCTTTCATGGTCAAAGATCACCGCGGCGAGTGTAAGCTTTTTTCATACTATTTTTCTTCCCTATATATCTCTTCTTTGAATAAATGTCAAATCAATTATACAACTACATATATATATATATATATATATATATATATATATATATATATATATATATATATATATTCCATGATATTCAATGCATACAAAAAAAAAAATGAAATTTCTAAAATAATCTTGAAAAATATTATTAGGGTAAATTAAAGCACTACAACCCTAACATAGATGCTATACATACTATGTATCAACACCTACAATGATTGGGCACTATTATATTGATGAATAGAATAATAGAGATGAGTGAAGTAGTTCTTGATAGTTTGGATTTACAAGAGAATTTGATAGAGTTTATTACAAATCAGGTCGCGTTTTAAGTAGAAATTAATAATATTAAATGACAAATTTGAGGTCAATCAACACACTCGGATAGTTATGCTGTGCATTCGTATGCACCATGCATGGTGCATACGGATGCAAAAACGACGTCGTTTTATTAAAAACGCGTCTTCCCTTTAAAAAAAATTCAGGTTCGATTCCCAGCAACAACATTATATTGTTCATTCATTATGAAATTTTAGTTCATAGATTATGGAATTATATTTCATTGATTATGGAATTATAGTTCATCAATTCTGAAATTGTAGTTCATCGATTCTGAAATTTTAGTTCATAGATTATGGAACTTTAGTTCATTCATTCTGGAATTTTTAGTCACAGATTAGATTCTGAAATTATAGTTCATAAATTCTGGAATTATAGTTCATCGATTCTGGAAATATAGTTCATCGATTCTGAAATTTTAGTTCATATGTTGTTGCTGGGAATCGAACCTGAATTTTTTTTTTAAGAGGAGACACGCGTTTTTTATTAAAACGACGTCGTTTTTGCATCCGTATACACCATGCATGGTGCATACGGATGCACAGCATAATTTGCCTTCCTCATTCTATGAGTCCTCTTTCAACATTGGGCCCTGGGGAGGGCCCAACCTGTCCTTGCCTAGCGCTAGACATGGGTCGATTGACCAACTTTCCAAGTACTTAGGTCAAAAGTAGATTGAATATTTCCTTTGTGACACAAGGGTCGGGGTATTATCCTCAACAAATATATATATATCAGCATATCTATATACTATAACTAAATGATCTCTAACATACAATATATCTAGGTATAGTATTTTGGTATATATAGCATGAATATTATATTGCTGGCAGATACATACGTACAATTTAATCAATATGGATTTCAATTGATGAAATTTATAATTTCTACTCATATATATATACATTGCAGTGTACAAAAAACATTACCCACCAGCACTAGATGATGATGTGTGGCGTCTAAAGAATATTGGGAAAGATGGAAAGTTTCATAAAAAACTCGCCTCAAATGGCGTCAACACAGTGCAACATTTCTTGCAGCTCTCTGAGATTGATTGCAACAAGCTCAGAAGTGTATGTATATCGATTAACATCATGCTTTTTTCTTCTTTTTTTTTTTTTTTTAAATAATTAATGCTTATTTATTCATTGTTTTTAAGCAGATATTAGGAGGTGGGATGTCAGATAAGATGTGGGA